TTGTATTACTTTTACCAGTGAAAGCATTTTGAGTGAAGTGGGAGGAGTATTTGTCTCTAGGCTGTCATGGTGAAGTTGTGTTAATTAATTTAATGTGCCCATATGAAAACTCAGCTCTTCAGAGAAGATGATGGTCATATTGTAAAAACTGAGTGCTTAAAATGAGTCATAGATTCCAGGCATTTGTGAGACTCTGTTTGTGTTACTTTCAATGCAGACACATGCTCACATGCACACTCACTTTAGAGGCAAAAAAGGTCCCTCCCAAGGAATCCTTATAATTCTCCTGGAATTATGAATTGAACTTATTTTGATAATGATACAGGATAAGTGTAACTGCCAACCTACTAAATGTCAGGTGTGCAGAGTGTTTGTCCCCTGACATCTAAGAATGAATTCCAAAGGACAGTGAAGGTTAAGAGTGGGAAAGGTTAATGGAGAGATAGCTCCTGAGAGAAAGGAGGGGTCCCAAGTGCGTGGCGACTGAGGCTCTTCGTCAAGGGTAATTTGTACAGCAGGGGCGCAGTGTGTGTACACATGGGTCAAACTGTAATCAACCTGTAAGGTTACAATAGATGCCTAGCTACTATTGATCCAGTGGGGGAAAAAGTCACACAGCAAGGGTACATGGGAAGAACGAGGGCATTCTGGGGAAGTTATGGGTCTAGAGGCTCTGGTCACAACCTTGGTGATCACTTCCTATCTGGATTTCCTGGACCAGGTGGTGCAAATCCCACGTTAACTGCTGACCCCTTTGGGAAGCGTGGAGGCCTGATTATTGCTTCTCCACCTGGAGGCCTGGCCTTCTTGAGATACAGCTCCAGCCACAATCCTGATGTCTTTATTTTTTACTAACATCTCTGAGGGCCAAGTCCCTCTCTGACTGTATTTAATTTCTAACTAAGCTGTCTATAATAGTGCAACTGTATGATTTATTTATAATAATATGACCCGTGTTTCTATCTAAATGTCATGAAGACAGAAAAGAAGTCATTTAGCTTTCTATAAACATGAAATGTACAAAAAAAAAAAAGAAATAAAATCACCATGAAAATGAAATTAAAATGTTAGGGTATTTCTTCTTGATCTCTATATTTTATTCCATTGAAAAAAGTAAGACCCTTTGAAATAAATGTACCTTGACAATGGAACATACAGCCCTAATTCCCTAACTTTCCATTTTTTAGTAGAAATTTTGACTATAACTTATGAAAATACATATTAAAGGCACAGTTTTCACATTTAGGCTTTGAATATTATAGTGAAAAACATTCTGATGAAATGTATAATATGTATAGTAGCATTTGCTGTACTTTTAATTCATGTCCTAATTTGTATTACCTATTGTCAGTCAAGTACTGTAGATAGTTTTGTTCTTCTTTAAATTAAATAATGTCAGTATTTAATTGTAATATGAGACTAGTGGTATTTTAAGAAGTTAAATATCATTCAGAGGCGTGTTGTTTAAGTCCATTCTTAACTATTTTGACCTTTGGTTTTGAACGTTAATGTTTTCTTCCATCAGTGATCTTTAAAGCCTTATTTTCAGCTTAAAAGGAGTTAACATTAAGAAAGTTTCATTATTTTAAGAATGGGCTCCTTTAGATTCACTTTGCTTTTTCTAAGATCTACATAATTTTTCATATTGATAAATTGGTATCCTTCTTTTCAAATTTACCAATGAACAGAAAAAACCTGAGATAAAAATGGCATGACAAAAAAGTATGACATTCACTTATTTCAAATCCAAGAAAATGAATGTAACATAAAGTACTTTAACTGAACAGTGACAAGGTACTAAAAGTAGAGCATGTAGAAATTGGTCATTTAGAATGGGTTATCGATTATTTGCCCACCAGTCCAAACTCACATATAATGGCCCTGTACTGAGATCTTTATGTAACTGAAAAGTGGCTATAAGAGCTAAATTAGCATGTTAATTAATACATGATATTCACAGTAAATGAAAACCTTCATTAACTGCTGACAGTGGACCTGTGATCTTAATGTTAGTATGCAGTTAGCTTTTTTTCTTTTATCTTGGAGACAAATTTACCAAGTAAGAGAAAGTGGCAGTTCTTTATTCACTACTACTTAGATCTTGATGTAGGCATTTTATTTGCCTGAAATTGAAGCATTTGACTTTATGGAAAATTAAGTACTTTAGTAAAGCGAATAATCATAATCCTATCAAATAAAATTTCCAAACAAGATTTTAAAGCCAAAGGAATTAAAAAGATATAAATTCTGGTGAGTAGAGAACCCTTAAAGTGCAATTAGGTCCTTTTAAACCAAGCAGCTGCAATTATTCCTAGTTCCTATTTAGCAATGTTTCTTCACAATTTCAAAGAGAGGCTCTGTTCTATTTTGTTTCTTTGGGTTTTTTTATTTGTTTGTTTGGTTTTTTTTTGTTTTTGTTTTTGATTTTTGGTACAGGGGATTAAACTCAGGACGTTGAGCTTGTGAGGCAGGCACCAGAACCACTGTGCTAAATCCGCGGCCCTGTGTCCTTATTTTATATGTTAAGAAATGTTTTAAGTCTTTAGTTAGTTTAGCCGTATGATTTCCTGTGATGTAATTTTCCATCCCAGTGTCCTTTTCACCATCTCTTGAGGACCTCCATGCTCAACTCCTAGAAGTCTGAGTAGGGCCAAAAAGGAAAGCAGGATTTACTCCTCATCTTCACAGTGGTGCTGACTTCCTTTGTTTTTACAGAAGAGAAAGCAAGACTTAGAATTATATAGATAGAATATTTGATTTCCATATATATCTGAACGCTTGTGAGGGTGTGGTTGATTTTGAATTTGTTTCTATTAGAATGGAATAATTTTTAACTTTTAAAAAGAATCAGAAACAGCCCAGTAATATATTTACAGTCAAAATATGCATTAACATGTTTATTCCCAAGTCTCAATTTTTAATAGTGAAATGGTACCATATAAAAATTTGTAACACACTCATGTGGTACTTATAGACATGATGCCGTAGCAGATATGGCCCCGTAAGCTCTCAGGCCAGGAAGAGCCCTTGCTTTCTCGCATTCTAGTCCTCCCCATTGACCTCTGTGGTCCCTGGCTTCAAAACGGTGCCATATAACGGAGAAGGAATGTTCTAGTCTCACAAGGAAGAAATGAAGGATGAATTTGAAGTGTGAGAAATTGATTGGTTTATCAGCTCCTAGTCTGTTAAAGCTGGTTCAAGCGTTAGAATTTCAATTCCAACTGTGTATAATAGGGTTCGGTGAGGAGATAAAAGCCACTTGTTAATTTGAGCACAAAGAGTCTAATGTGAAGGGTTATTATCTACAACAGGGGTTGGAGTAACTAATTATTGGTAAGGTATACAAAGAACCAAAAGAATTGAGAAGAACGGGCACACAGAGAGGCCTGAGGCGCAGTACCTAAGGAAGACTTTTGAGAGAAGGTCACTCACCCCCACACTGGGGAGCAGATATTTGGGAGAAGGCACAATGGTGGCTCGGTGGGTGGTGAAGAGGTTTTCCAAGGTGCTCACTCTGTTGCCCTCTGTGGTTGATGCTTAAAATTCTGCCGTACAACAGGGGAGGGTGTTCTAGTCTCGCAGGGAAGACAATGAGGGCTGGATTTAGAGTCGTGAGATAATAGACTGATACCTTTCTCACCGTGAGATAATAGATTGCTAACTTTTTCACTGACAGTATCAGAAAGTAGAACTCTGCTTTTTAATCATTATGCCATTCTTCACACTTTCTTTATCAGGAATTGTGGCATTTAACAATAGAAAGGCAAATCAGGGGAAGATGGAAAGAAAATGTAATAACGTTAAATGGAGGTTTACATTAGTCTCTTCCTTAAAAAAAAATATAAATTTTTTTGTACTGGAGATCGAACTTGGGACCTTGCACCTGCAAGGCAGGTGGCAGCACCACTGAGCTAAATCCCCAGTCCTTCTCTGAAATATTTCTTAGCGTCACTTCAGATGCTTAATAGACTGCTTCATTGAATCTTAGGACACGGACTTAGTAAACAAAACTAAAATTACAAACTGGAAGACCAAGGGCCATAACTGGAGTTTTCTTAACTATTTGTACATGTTATGTATGGTTGATAAAGGTTTATTTGCAACTAAGAGCTGCTGTAGAGAATCCAAATGCCTCCACTTTCTTTATAGACTAAGATTTAAGTAAATCATTTAAATTCTCTGGGTCTCAGTTTTCTTCGTGTAAAATGAAATAATAATAGGATTTGCTTTCTAGGTGTGTTATGAAAATTAAATATGTTAATATTTATGTTTGGTCTCTAATAAGTGTTATTTAAATGTTGGAGTAATCAAAACTAGTCAAAGCATATGTATTTTTATATTTTCCTTTGTTTTTTTTTTTTTTTTTTTTTGTACCAGGGATTGAACTCGGGTCCTTGCACTTGCAAGGCAGGCCACCAAACCACTGAGCTAAATCCCGGGCCCGCATTTTTATATATTCTTAAAGACAGCCTAGGAATGTTAACTCTTGTAGTAACTCCCGTTTATGCAACTTTACATTTGCATATATAATATTTTTCTCAATAATGTGAGTCCATTGATTAATGACATTTAAAAATATATAGTTAGTTTATAGGATATGTAATGTGAATGCTGTACAGTGGTTATTTTAATTTCTTTTTTGTATCTTTAACATGCCTTAAACTGGTAGTACTTGAAGGTAATATCAGGAAAGTCAGTACTCTTTAAGTTTTGCAAAGAATTGTCAAGCATACATGACATGCATTAGCAAGTAGACAAGAAAACTGATTATAGCCCTCAGTTCTCCAGTTTATATTGTCAGTTTTTGTTTGCTGAGTCAGTGTCCTAAAATTCAAGATTTTGAATAGAGTAGTTAATGAAAAAAAGATTGTGTTTTCAACATACTTCTTGGTATCAAATTAAGTAGTTCATAATCTGTTTATTAAAAGCAAGATATAAACATTCTGTAAAATGTCTAAAATTTAAAATTTTAAAAATATTTCCTCTTTTTTTTAAAACAGAGAGACAAAAATATTACGAGGTGATCAAAAAGTCTCAGGCGATTGAAATGATATTTACTCTCTATCCACCTCGAGGTGCGAATGTGGCTAATAACACGCGTATCAAGTCAACGTGGCTGAGGCCTATCGTCAATGGAGAAGAAGGATACAAATATATCGGTAAGATGTTCAGCTTTATTTCTTATAATAAGGAAATAATACCTTCTGCTAAAGAACTCCTATCCATCATTTGATGACATAGGGTTGCACACAGGCCCTATAAAATGTTCCATGTGCTTCCTAGGAGATTTGTCTGCAATTTAAAAAGTGACCATTTTATGCTTTAGAGCCTTCTCTAAAACAGTGGAAACAGGATGTGCTTAGCCACTCTCCCACTGATGGACATTTGGGCTGCTTTTATTTTTGAATTGCTGCAAGCAAAGCTGCTGCAAACATTCATGTATAGGACTCTGCATTCATATATGTTGTCTTTCTTTTAACTACCGTGGTTTCCAAAGAGATTGTACCATTTTGTGTTCTCCACCAGCAGAGATGCTGGAGCTACATGTGTTCCACAGCTACATTTTCACTCGTCTTTCCAATTTTAGCCAGCCCAAGAGGCATGCATTAGTGTCCTAGTCTGGTTTGATTTGAATTTGATATGATATTTGATGACTTTTTTCTTCATTGAGTTTATTGGAACATTTTAGAGGTACAGTACAGTTACATTTATCATTGGCATCTTGTACCTTTATATGACAGGTCTTGGATCTCATTTTTTCCTCATACCCCTGTCCTCTACTCCCTCCTCCCTTCCCTATTTACAGAGACTTTGTTTCCATTTTTTTCTTTTTTCATATTTTTCTTTTCCCTCATTTCCTTTCCCCTAACCTTTTCACTACCCCTACTCCTTTAGCCCTTTGCTTCCTATTTCACATGCTCAGTTATGTAATTTGGATCTTATTTTCACTTTTAGTTTTTCACACCAGAGAAACTATTCGGTATTTACATGTGTGTCCTATTTATTTCACTTAAGAGTATGGCCTCAATATGCATCCATTTTCCTATATGACTGCAGTTTCTTATTCTTTATGGCTGACATCTTTTAATGTATTTGTAATTTATGTATATTGCTCATTAAAGCATCTGTTCTTTTGGCCACTGTTATACTGTGTAGGATTTTTAAATTTTTAGAGTCCTTAGATATTCTGGGTGCAAATCCTTTTACACATATATACTTTGTAAATATGGATTGTCTTTTCTTTCTTTCAATAATATCTTTTGAAAAGACCTTAATTTTGATGAAATACATAATTTACTGTGGTATTTCTTTATGACATGCTTTTTCTCTCATGTCAAACAAATGTTGGCTGGACTTATAGCCACAAAGGTGTTTCATTTTTTAAAGAATTTTTATAAGTTTTAGGTTTTATATTGCAGTGTATGGTAAGCTTCAAGCAAATTTTGTACATGGTTCATGGTGTAGATTGAAGCTTTTTCTTTTACATATTTATATCCAGAATTTTCAGTGGTTTTTGTTGAAAGACTGTCCTCTTACAATCTAACTTTGCACTTATGTCAAAATCAAGTATGAACAGAAGGTATATAGTGGGCAACCAAGGAAAGAAGATGCACATTAAAGCCATGGTGACATATCTCCATTTGTTTATCAGATAAAATAAAAAAATTTTAAAATCTAACAATATAAGATCTAACAAGGATGGCCTGGATACAGGGCACACATTTCTGTGAGAGTACAGCACGTTACAGCCACCTAGGAAATATTTTGGCACAGTCTTATATAATTAAGCATACTTTATCCGTAAAACTGTCATCCTATTTGTAGGAAATTTCCAAGATAAATGAAAGTTTTGTTTTATTTTTCTTACACCAACCTATATGTGGATCCATATAGCAGCATTATTCATAATTACCAAAAAGCTGCACACAATGCCACTGGTGAAAGGATAAACACAATTTGGCACATCTATGCAGTGGTACACCGTGGAGCAATAAGTAGGAAGGAATGAACTACTGATAAACAAAACATGGATGACTCTCAAATGCTTTGTGATGAGTGAAAGAAGCCAGACTCAGAGAGAGAGCCTATGAATTGTATGATCCCATTTCAATTAAACCAGGACTATGGGAACAAATATCAGGGCTGTGATTGCTGCAGCTCAGTGTTGCTGACAGGGTTCTATCAAGAGGCAGAATGAGAGAGTCTTAGAGCAACATTCCTCTTCTCTGTATTGATCAAGGTATCATACAGCCACATTAGTCAAAACCCGTAGAACTGTTCACCAAAATAGCACATTTTTATTCCACGTAAATTTTTTTAAATGGCCAAAAAATGAAAAAAGGTATTTATGCAGTTGTCCAGCACTCCCATAAAAAGGTGAACCTTCATCAGTCATTAGGAAAATGTAAATTAAACCACAGTGAAGCACTACCATCCATTTACCCAAATGGCTACCACAGTAAGGCTGGCCATACCAGCACTGGCGAGCAGGTGTTCAAACTGGAATACTAGTATTCTCACAATGTAAAATAGAACAAACTGTGCAAAGTAGTTTGATATTTTCTAAAAAAGTCAAATTATACCGTAAACATATACCTACCATACAATTCAGCTGTGACACCTTTATTTTTTTTAATTTTAAATGTGTCTATTCAGAAATTGTACACATTTGTAGAATATTTTCATGTAAAAGGCATAAGCTAGAAATAAGTGCACATCTGAAGATGAATGCATAGACATGTTATAATATACCCATGCAGAATCCTGAGCAATATTGAAGAAAAAGCTATGTTCATATTGTTACATATAACAACTTCAATGAATCATGAAATAATTTTGTTGAGTGAAGAAATGCAAGACAATAAGAGAGTATATACTGTATGAGTTCAATTACATAAAATTCTAGGAAATGTAAGGTAATTGGTGATGCCCAAAGGAGATGGGGTTTTGGAGTTGGGGGTGGAAGTGGGGAATGATTGTTTAAAAAAAGGGAAAAGAAAAATATGTGAGAGAATGAAAAGATGAAAATAAAGTGTTTGTAGATGGGGAGGGGAGGAGGGGGTGAAGGGAGGACAGAAAAAAAAATTTAGGATGATGAAAACATTTTGATTGTGGTGATTTGTTTGTGGAGATAGACATGTCAAAACTCATCAAATTATGCACTATGCATAGTTCATTTTTATTATGTGTATCTCACTGAGGCTATGAAATGAAAGTTGAAAACAAAGAACTAAGACAGTGAAACATTAATTTTGGCAGTAATTTTGAAAGATGTTCTCTTTAAGCTTGAAAACTTAATCTTGTGTTTTAGAATTTACTTAGAGAATCATTGGCTGGAGATATAGTAGTTTGCAAGGTCCTCATTTTGATCCCTAGCCCATAATAAATAAACTAACTCACAAATTCATTGGAATTTCATCTGACTAGTGTATATGAAGGAATTCTTAAGTACTCAGTTCTATGGCAGCCTACGGGAGCAATAGGGAAAGAAAAAGCATATAATGTAACAGAAAGACTCAGGTTGCTGTGTATTTTTTCTTTGAAGTTTTCACCTAAAATATCTAGAACATGATCTATTTCATGCTAAAGATTTGTGTTTGATGGCTAGACTCCATTTACATTTTTAAAGAAAACAAATAAGAAGGAAATATGCAAATTGATTTGTTATAATTTGAGGATTCCATTTTCCAAGATTTGCCCTCTTCTTTTTTAGTGACCAGAACCTTGCGTCTCTTTGAATTATAGTTGTTATTAAATCGACTAACAAGTGAATTGAAGCATTTGCCTTGGAAAAGATTAGTCTATTACAGAAGTGCTTTCTGAAACCAAGTAACTCCTACTATAAACATTTTAGGGAGGATAGCTCTGGGAATTTATGATGTGTTCCAGTATTAATACTTCATAATGTAAACACTCATGTGTCTTGATTTCACTCTGTAGATTCAGAGATGTATTATCAGCAAGAACCAACAAATAGTTAATAGAGTCACACATGCTCTGTAAACACCTTGAATGGCTAACAAATTATCTACTTTTTTTTTTCTTTTGATACTGGGGATCAAACTCAGGTCCTCTGCACTTGCAAGGCAGGTAACAGAACCGCTGAGCTAAATCTCCAGCCCCAGATTATCTACTATTAACACTGCTCTTTCTAAACATTCTCCTGGTTATCCATATTTTTATATTTCATAATTCTTACAGCAGTGGCTTCCATGTATGTAACTGGAATGCCAAGTAAGAGATAACTTTAATTTGCTTAAAGTACAGATTTTCTTCTGAATAACTTTTTAATCAGATCAAGTACAAAGGCTTTATTTTTTCCCCAGAGATACATATCCTGTCAAATTTGACTCAGAAGGGCTTTTTTGGAAAGCTAGTCTTTTAACACATCATTGGTTGTTTCTCCTTATAACTTCTGTCCTCGAGCTCCTCTGACCTTCTGGCCTGTCACAAAAACTAAGTTTGTTTCTGTCCTTCAGCATTCTTTTGTGACCTTGGGTAATGTTCAACCTGGAAGCCATAGATTATATTATGGAACATCTTAGGCCTATAGTTCTTGGACTTCTAATGGGTATACCATGAAGGGGTAGGTTAGCCATTATCTTTCAAGGATATCATTTAGGAAATATAAATGGATGATTAAATCACTGTCTGAAACCAATGGTCCATTTTAATTGAAATCATATTATATTACTTTAAGTTTTTGAATTAGTTCAGATCTGGAGTAATGAGTGAAGACCTCTAGTTCTACTGATAGTCTTTTTAATATATAATTTACAACACTTTGTATCATAAATTCTACTTACCCTCATAAGATATGCTATTTAAATTGTGCAATTAACACCAAAATTTGATTCTCTGCCTTAATCACTGTTTTGTTACCAATTTAAAAAGTACAAAGCATCATTTTACATCATTCAATTTGTTCCTCTGCTTTTAGGCAAAATTTGACATATATTAACCAAGTGAGAATATATCCCATTCTTTAAGGCTGCAATTACATAGTCATCCCATGCAAGTCTGATTTTTGATTATCATGGAATTACTAACTTTATAAGCAACATAAGACTTTCTTTTCTTATACACCCTTAAGTCTAGGTTAACTTTTTAAATATTCACAAAATAAAGGTATAGATTAAGTATAGATTATTGTGACCTT